ACATTTCAAATAAGCTAGGATTTAATGACCTATATCGATTTTTCAAAACAACCAACCACATTAAAGTAACATTTGTTAGTTAGTCAAAAATCAAAGATCAACTCAGTACAAAAATAGGATAAGAAAAATAAAAGTATTAATGTTATGTAACATGCAACTATCCCAAAACCCAAGTTTCTCTTAAGAAGTTCAATCTCACAAATTTGATAGTTAGGATTTGAATATGAAGGAGTGTATTCAAAACATACATTCTACGGTTATGAAGGAGCGTATTCCAAACACAACTAATGGGGAGGAGGTAAGAAGGAGCGTATTCCAAACAAATATTTCCCAAGTCCACATCATTATCTAGGTATTCATGAAGCATCACATGAACACCACAATAGGGGTGGCTATCCCATTTGTGCATAGTAAGAACTATCAAGAAATCGCTCAATGTCATCATACACCATAATGGCCAAATCTAGTATGGATATAATGGCGGACTCACACGGGAACTCATCCTATAATGTATGCACATGTTAAATTCCCCAAATCATAAAGCATCATTTAATCATAAAACATAATTTCAACATAAAATATCAATTCATCATAAAACATCATTTCATCATAAAACTATCGTATCGTAATAAAATGTCATTTTTCTTTTAAATAAAAACATTTTCAAACAACATATCAATAATTCTTTGTTAGTCATTTTATCAAATTCCCAAATAAAGGAAAACCGTTTTTAATTTCCAAAATCTTTCTCTTATCAAATTCCCAAATAGAATTTATAGAAAGCATGTAGGATGTAAAAGCACATAAGGATCACCAAAACAACTTATAGCATATTTGCAAATCATATCACATGAAATCTTTTTAAAGTAAAGTTCATAGTTTGGGACATATGCTCCCGGTAAACCCGCCTTAGTACAATGCTTGCAATACCACACTCTTTATACACTTTACCAAGTTTGTGCTTCCAACTCAACATGTAATATCATCATCATTAGGTTGTCAAAAACTAATATACCCTTCTCTAGGTCAACTCATCATACTAAGTTCCCAATGCACCTTAAGTGTCCTATTATTAATTATAGAAGCCAAAGAAAAGGAAAGGAAAGGATTAAACTCAAGACACACAAAAATTACAAGTGTGTCATGCTTCATAATGAGACATGTTGTGATTTTCGCCCAATAGATCATGTTTTTTGGTTTATTTTCTTATTTCACCATTTTTCTTATATAAGACCTCAAATCTGAATCAAATGACTCAATAGCTTAAAACGCATGTTAAAACACTACAATTGAACATAAGAAAGAATCACCATATGGTTCGTATCCTTAGAATAGACATCAATCACAAAATCATCTCATAAACTTCACATATAAGCTTAATGAGAGTAAGGAACTTAAATTTGCACCAAATCGCTATGTGTGAAGATGGAATGCAGCCAAATGAACTAATATCATTATAGAAGCTTAAAGAATATTAAAATCATGAAGTCATGGAAGATTAGAACTCAATCCTCAATTAAGATTGACCTCAAATCTTCACATGAACTCCAAAGAAGATTAACTTTACCAAAAACTCAATCAACATCATTACAGACATGGATTACTAACAATACCTCAAAGTTGCTGATTAAACATCAAGAGAAACACAAAACAACTTCCTAATACATCATGATTCATGGATTTTGGCTAGAACCCTTAGGACTAGAAAACCTAAATTATGATCAGAAATTAATTAACTCAAATCAGAGTATGATTTCAATTGAAATGATGAGTAATGAACTAAATACATTAGATGGACATAAAACACCATGAATCCTCAAGTTAAATCATGAAATTCGGATTCCACCATTGATGGTTAAGAAAACCCATCTAAAGATTCCAAATTTCCAAATCTCACAAATATTAGCTAATTAGAGCTTGGAGATGAATCTAGGAATGAAATCACAACATTAAAATTATTAGAACATTATAAATGGAACATTACATTCATATTTGTACAAACACACAAACGCTAACACGAATTTGAAAGAGGGTGGAAGAAGAAACTACCTCTAGATGCTAAATTAATAGAGAATTTGACCACGACTTCAAGCATCAATTTCCATTTATTTGGAGATGGAAACTACCATGGAGGAGAGTGATCTTGGTTGATTACATGAATGAGAAGAGTAGAGAAGAGGATGTCCTCAAATAACATAACTTTGGTCATTTATGCAACTATACTCCCTCCTTGCTAGAATTCTTTCAATAAAGATCCCAAACTAGGTAAAAACTTGTAATAACTAATATGGTCTTTCCCCATAATAAAATATACAAACTTAGTCCTAAGCATTAAATTGGTCAACTTTGTAGTCAAACACAAGTTTCACCAACTTGTCACATTTGATCCTCATCACTAAAAGAATTCTTTCTAAACCAAAATTCTACTTTATTTATATATCATCTAGTATCAAGATTATAATGATTCATTTTTATCATTTTTTGTCTTTTTAATTTATTTTTTATTTTGTTTTAACTTATTTATTATTTATATTATTTTTTTAACCTGATATATTTAGAGAAGTGGTATTTTGTTTCCAGCTATCAGATATTTGCTAGTTTATAAATTCATACATATAATATTGAAGATGAATGCAAGTGGTAGCTTAATCTGTGACAAAATGAGCAAACAATGGCATTGCTAAATGAAAGCAGATAACAACTTGGTTCAAGCTACTTGAGAATGTTGATAAACGATTATGAAATTATATGTGAATTGTGTGTACATAATATGAGATAAAGTATATGAAATGAAGAGGGGTTCATCTTGAATATAAATTGTAAAACTGATATATTCATAAAGTAAATACCAAATTAAAAAATATATTACTAGTGAAGTATGTAACCTTATGAAACTTATATTGGGATGAGATGTTGCTCACTAAGCTATTTAGCTTATAGTTGTGTGTGATTTATGTTTACACGTAACAAGATAATGTACAAACGATAGAGATTGTACGAAAGATGTTTATAACTTTATATAGTCCATGTGGTTTATTCCATAATGTATATTAGTTTTCATTTACAATATGAATTAGTTAGCCTTGATGTTATGAAAGTACATCGTTGCTGATTTGTTTTTTTTTTATGAACCATGATCTTTTATTGATTTGAAGTAAAAAAGAAAAGTTGTGGAGTGTACTTTTCTGTTAGAATTGGGGTGTCACAAATAATTTTTTAATGAACCATGAAGATTTATTACTTTGAAATAAAAAAGAAAAGTTGTGGAGTGTACGTTTCTATTAGAATCGGGGAGTTCAAATTAAAAAAAAAGACAAAATTACAAAAATGGTCCTTCTGGTTTACCAAAAGTCACAAAGTCAGTCTCCGCTAATTTTTTTTTGATGCAAATGGTCCTTGTGGTTTGCAAAACTTGCACAGATGGCCCTTTTTACTAACTCCGTTAGTATTCAGCCGTTAGGGTAAGGGCATTTTTGAGACCTCCACCAATTAAATGGCCAAAGCCTTAACCAGTTGAGCTGCATGTATATTTGGTTTATATTTTCCAAATACTAATTTATATAATAAGTAGAACGTTAAAACATAAGCAATAAATAAATTACAAAACATATTTTTTTACATATTTTTTTTAATAAAACAAAATGTGTTTTCGTATTATAAAAAAAATTACAAACAATTTGAATGCATTTTTATGTATTTATTTTACATAAAAATGTATTTTTTGTCTTTCGTAATTTTTTTTTCGTAAAAAATATATATTTTATATCTTTAAAAAATACGTTTTCGTAAATATATATTTTTTTATGTCTCTAAAAAATACGTTTTCGTATATAAAAACGTATTTCGTAAAATATATTTTTTTATATCTTTGAAAAATACGTTTTTGTATAACAAATACGTTTTCGTAAAATATATTTTTTTATGTCTTTGAAATAATAATAATTAACACTATTCATGACATAAAAAAATGTATAAATTCTTTGGATCGATAGTTCTAAAACCGGTGTTAATTATTATTATTATTATTTTACGAAATATATATATTTTACGAAATACATTTTTTTTATCCTTCGTAAAATATTTTTTTATATCTTTAAAAAAATACGTTTTCGTATAACAAATACATTTGCGTGAAATATATTTTTTTATGTTTTTGAAATAATAATAATTAACATTACTCATGACATAAAAAAAATGTATAAATTCTTTTGGATCGATAGCTCTAAAACCGGTGTTAATTATTATTATTATTTCAAACACATAAAAAAAAATATTTTACAAAAATGTATTTGTTATACAAAGACGTATTTTTTAAAGACAAAAAAATACGTTTTTATGTAAAATAAATACATAAAAATGCATACAAATTGTTTGTAATTTTTTTTATAATACGAAAATACATTATGTTTTATTAAAAAAAATATGTAAAAAAATATGTTTTGTAATTTATTTATTGCTTATGTTTTAACGTTCTACTTATTATATAAATTAGTATTTGGAAAATATAAACCAAATATACATGTAGCCCAACTGGTTAAGGCTTTGGCCATTTAATAGGTGGAGTTCTCAGGTTCGATCCCTCCCCCCATCCTTCAGCCACATAATTATTTTTTCAAACAAATTTCAAAAATGGTCCATGTGGTTTACCATATATCACGAATTTAGTTTCTTTATACCTGAAAAGACGAAAATGCCCTTACCCTAACGGCTGAATACTAACGGAGTTAGTAAAAAGGGCCATTTGTGCAAGTTTTGCAAACCACAAGGACCATTTGCATAAAAAAAATTAGCAGGGACTGACTTTGTAACTTTTGGTAAACCACATGGACCATTTTTGTAATTTTGTCTTAAAAAAAATTGGACTTATTAAAAATAATACATAACCATATATATGGGGCCATTTATATAATTTTCTCCTTAAAAACAAAAAAAAAATTAAACATAAAAAAATTAAAAAAAAAAAATAAATAACTATCATCGTTTATAAGGGGACAAGGTTTTAAAAACATAAAGACGCAATTTTGTAAGAAGACTAAACACCCTCTTAACAGTCATCTTTTAGACACTGAGTAACAAATAACCAACGCATTAAGTGGAAAAGACTCCACCTACGTTGATATGGATGACAACGGCACCGACACCCACTCCACCGGAGTCGAGTCTCCGCTACTCATCAACTTCGTTGACGGCGTTGTCGACTATAGAGGACATCCAGTTCTCAGATCAAAATCCGGTTGCTGGCGATCGGCATATTTTATCATTGGTAATGCTTAGCCTCTCAAAAACATTTCCAAAAACAGTAAAAAAAATCCAAGCTCTTAATGTTCATGCAGGCGTTGAAGTGGCAGAGAGATTTGCGTACTATGGCGTCAGTTCAAATTTAATCACATACTTGACCGGTCCCTTGGGGCAATCGACGGCCACCGCAGCCGAGAATGTCAACACGTGGACTGGAACGGCGAGGCTTCTTCCTCTTCTTGGCGCTTTCATTGCTGATGCTTTTCTGGGTCGATACCTAATGATTATAATTGCTTCTCTGCTTTATGTTCTGGTTTTCATCTCTTCCTCATTAATTTGAATCATTTTTTACTTTTCCAAGAATTTCCGTACGTACCTACACAATTGTGTTAAACTACATCAGCAATTATTTCTACATTCAACAATTCGGAATAAATCATTAACTGGTTGCTCTGTTGATATCATTTTGATAATTAATGTCTGATCACAATTGACAGGCGCTTGGGTTTCTGGCTCTTTCCACTTTTATTCCTTCAAAACTGTGAAACCGCCAATGGCAGATCATCATGTTCTTCTCAACTCCAAGTCGTCATGTTCTTCATTTCACTGTATCTTGTGGCAATTGCCCAAGGTGGCCACAAGCCCTGTGTTCAAGCTTTCGGGGCAGACCAGTTTGATGCAGATGATCCAGTAGAACGTAAAGCCAAGAGCTCATTCTTCAACTGGTGGTATTTTGGAATGTGTGCTGGCCCTACAGTCGGAATCTTTGTTCTTAGCTACATTCAAGATAACCTTAGTTGGGCTCTTGGATTTGGGATTCCTTGCATAATCATGGCTTTTGCCCTCATCGTATTCTTGATTGGAACCATAAATTACCGATTTGCAGCAAAAACCGAGGAGAAAAGTGCTTTTTTTTCAGAATTGGCCACGTGTTTGTTAAAGCAGCTAGGAATTGGAAAAGTGCACCTTCAATAATGTCTTCAGATGAGGAAGCTTTTGGAATCTTTGATCATCAACGTTCTAAACAATTCAGGTAACAGTACATTAACATTTAACACGTTATTCTTGAATTCCTCGTGTTTTTTTGGGTTTAAATTATCTTTTATTTTTTATTTTTCAGATTTCTCGACAGAGCTTTGTTTAAGGGATCGAATGAAGATGGAACTGTTTGTAATATTGACGAAGTGGAAGAAGCAAAGGCAATTCTTAGACTAGTTCCAATATGGGTTAGTTGTTTAGGGTATGCAATTGTACTAGCTCAAACTTCAACATTATTTACAAAACAAGGAACCACCATGGACAGGTCAATCGGGTCAAATTTCAAGATTCCAGCAGCCACGCTACAATCATTCATCGGTCTCTCGGTTATAATTCTAATTCCCATTTATGACATCATCTTGGTTCCTCTTACACGATCCATTACAAGGAAACCATCAGGTATAACCATGCTTCAGAGAATCGGAATCGGAATCCTCATTTCCATTGTTTCAATGGTGGTTGCAGCAGTCGTTGAGACAAAAAGACTCGAAACTGCTCGTGAGTATGGATTATTAGATGATCCAAATGCAACGATTCCAATGAAGATATGGTGGTTATTGCCTCAATACCTATTGGCTGGAGCTGGTGATGTTTTTACCATGGTGGGTATACAGGAATTCTTCTATGACCAAGTGCCAAGTGATCTTAAGAGCATGGGCCTCGCACTTTACCTGAGTATCATAGGGATTGGTAGCTTCTTAAGCAGCTTTCTGATCTCGATTGTTGGGAAAATGACAGGTGGAAATGGTGAAGATGGTTGGATATCTGATAATGTGAATCGAGGGCATATTGATTACTTTTACTATCTTCTTGCGGGAATTAGTGTGGGGGCGTTTATGATGTACATTTATGTCGCAAGATCTTATGTTTATACTCGAGAAAGAGGCTTGTGATGTTGCTGAATTAAGTGCTTTGGGTTTAGATTTGGTTTGAATTGAAGTTGAGGCACGTAGCATGATATATTGTTGTAATGGTTGCATTGACCATTTATTTAATAGAAATAGTTTAAATATAGAACCCTTTAAATAACTATACTTATGGTTTAACTTATGAAAATTTATCTTTTTACCCATGGCATTTAAGGTCGATTGAAGTGAATACAATTTAACAGGAGGATTGTCATATTATTATTTTATATTTTATAAATTCTACCATCATATTAAACTTTCAAAAAATTCTAAAAAACATTTATTTTAAAAAAATATATTTATTATTGAAAAAGTTCAACGACCATTGAAATACATATTTGTTAGATAACACAGTGTCATCCCATCTATTACTATTAAACTCCATATTTGTTGGATACCACCGTGTCATCTTACTATTGTTGAGAGTAATTCTTTGAATGTCAACTAAACATTACATCTCATTAAATTTTTTTATTTATTGAACTACATATTTGTTGAATACCACCGTATCATCATATTATTATTGAGAGTAATTCTTTGAATGTCAAATAACATTACATCTCATTAAACTTTTTTATTCAACTATGCATTGTGATGTCTAACAACCCTACAAAGTTCTTTAATTTTACCAAAATACTCGTGTTACAATCTGTGACTAACTCATTTTTTAATCTAACATTCGATGGTCAATATTGGTAACAAGGCCGATAAAACTTTAAACTATACTTATAATTTCTATGTAACATCCGGTTTTCCAGGTATATTATTTTCATTATTTAATTTGAGAATCTTGGAGAGACTCGACGAGTTGACGCATCAACTCGTCGAGTAGGGTCGTGACTTGTGACGTGTATTAATGAATGGATTCGACGAGTCTGTGAGCCGACTCGCCGAGTCAGCACTGTTGAGGGAAACCCTAATTTAGCGGGTTTGTGGCCTATATAAAGGCACTTATAGCCTCCCTTTGGCGGCCACACTTCCGTGAGAAACCCTAAACGACCTGGGAGCTCATAGAGTGAGAGAGAGAGAGAGAGAGAGAGAGAGAGAGAGAGAGAGAGCTAACTTTGAGATCTTTGGTGCATTTGTGGAAGGGAGAAGAGAGTTTTCAAGCAAGGAGTAAAGGAGGGGCATTGGATCTGCTAATACTCATCCAGGAGCTTCTGTTAAAGGTATCAAGTTCGAACCTTTCCTTCTGATTAAGTAGATGACATTTTTAGGAGATTAGGGCTCCTTTTTGTGTATATTTTGGGACTTGAAAGGTTTGGGGTTCATAAGGAAGCTTGAACTCCAGATATGGATTGTAGGAGACCCTTAACATCTAAAGGTTCAAGCTTTATTCTGATTTGGTGAAGTCCTTGTGAGAAAAACCTTTGTTAAGGCATGATCTTGGCATTTCTTGCCCAAAATGACATGCATGGACGTAAAGTCTATGACTTTACGTGATATTTGAGCCCTGAGAATGTGCATCTGGAGTTTGAGGAAATGTTCTGCCTTAAAATCGTCTGAATGCAAGCTGAGTCTTAATAGACTCGCCGAGTTGATGAGCCGACTCGGCGAGTAGCTTAGGGTTTGTCCCGATGAGTTGAATCGCGCTCTAACTCGTCGAGTTAGGGGTTAACTCGACTAGCTGGACCTTCCTGAGGTTACTGAGAAACGATGGGACTCGATGAGTCGCACGAGTGCACTCGGCGAGTCTCGTCAATTTTGGACTGTTGACTAGAGTTGACTTCTGTTGACTGTAAGGTCTGGTCAAATGAGTAGTAAAAGTCAGGGAGGGGTAAAATGGTCTTTTACCCATTTAAGGGGCTAAGAGTGTAAGAGAGATCAAAGAATAGTGTAATTGAGTGTGAGGGGAGTATTGATTAGAAATATTATCCATGTGATAGGCGGAGGCTAGATCGAGGATTTCGAGCACGATATTTTACTAGCTAGCTTACAAGGTGAGTCTTCTCACTATACTTTACCTTGAGTGGTATTTATGTGTGACCAGAGGGTCTTATGTGCTTACTTGAGTTGTGCTTTATTTGTGTGATATATATTATGATATATTATGTGAGGCTGAGACCGGACCGGAAGGTCCAACGAGCCATGGGACTGGAGGGTCCCAACCAGACCGGACCGGAGGGTCCAACGAACCGTGGGACTGGAGGGTCCCACTGAGACACATAGAGTGGAGGGTCTTACAGTGTTATAGCCTCGAGTGGCTAATATGTTGAATGTGGTATTTTGGGGAACTCACTAAGCTTTGTGCTTTGTGTTATGTGTTATGTGTTTCAGGTAGTTCCGAGGATCGCGGGAAGGCACCGGCATGATTGTACACACTGGCGAGAGATTGTTATATGATTCTGTGATTTGATTTTATATGTGTGGAATTGTCGACATTTGAGATACTTATGATTTTGAGAATATAAAACTGATTTTTATTGTGTTTGAAAATGAAAATTTTGTTTGAAAAATCACATCGTTACAAGCTGGTATCAGAGCCTTGGTTTGAGGGATTCAGATGCACCTTCGGGTATGTCTGGACTCAAACTGAGGATTTGAGAAGAATTTTCAAGAAAAACAATTTTTCTAAAAACAAGTAAGAGTTTCTAAGAGAAAAGTGGAAAAGAGCAGTGTGTACAATCAGCCAGCGCCCGAACGGTGATTTCCCAAAATACCCTTACTTTATGTGTTATGAGATATTTACGAGATAATTATGAGATATTATGCATGCTAGAGAGTAGGCTAGGTATTTCATATCTTAGGACTAGAGTGGCCTGAATTGTGATGCCTTAGCCTAGGAGTTACTGCTACGGTAAGTTGTTTGAGTGCGAGTAGGTAGCAGAGAGGAGCTTATGAGAGGTCTACTAGAGAGTGGCCTGTGTCTGGAGAGGCATAGAGTAATTACAACCTGGAATCCTAGGAGGAGGACTTGGGGTGGGTGTTGATGCGGTGTGGAAGGTAGTATTGGGCCCGTACTACTGGAAGCACCAGATCAGTAAGCAGCCCAAGTAAGAATCCTTAGGATGCTAAGGAGCAAGTAGGGACGAGTGATCGAGTGTGAGTATACTCGAGCGAGTCTCTGATGATTTTATGTTGTGTTTCAGAGACATCATGGTGGGTACGCGCCACAACCCAGAAGGCAGTGGTACTAGTGACGAGGAGATTCGCAGGATGATCCACGAGGAGGTGGCCGCAGCCATTCGAGCAGAGATACCGGAGATGTTTGGGTCTATTAAGACCACCCTGATTAAGACGTTTGATGAGAGATATGATGCTCTTACCGAGGTGGCTGCTGCTGCAGCCACTGTAGCTGTCGCTGCTGCCAGGCCACAGGGAGGTGACTCGTTGTTGTACCGGGAATTCAGCAACACGAAGCCACCAGAGTTTAATGGGACTCAGGATCCGATTGCTGCGATGAGACGGATCTCTGATATCGAGGGATGTTTCTACACTTGTTCCTTTCGGGAACATTTGAGGGTACGGTTCGCGCTGAACCAGCTTCGCTTGGGGGCGAAGGACTGGTGGAAGTTTGTGACAGTCAGTTTCACTCCTGCAGAGCACGCTGTAGTGACATGGGAGAAATTTACCACGATGTTTTGAGAGGAGTATGTTCCCCCGGTGGAGAGGGAACGGTTGGCCCAAGAGTTTTTGTCCCTCAAGCAGAGGACAGAGTCAGTGACAGTGATTACGAGGATGTTCCATGAGAGGACGTTGTTCTGCCCTGAGCACGTGTCTACCGAGCAGGCACGTATGAGCCGATATTTGAGCATATTGAGGAGGGATATCCGCGAGTTCGTGGCGAACTCGACTTATCGGTCATTTGCTGAGCTTCAGGCAAATGCCCGAAAGAGGGAGATTGAGCTGGAGACTCAGGCCAGGGAGGAGGCGGAGTCTCAGGGGAGGGATCAGTGGCCGGCACAGTCTCAGCCGGCAGCCAAGCGGGCGAAGCCCGCTGATTCGAGATCTGAAGGCCAGAAGGGCGGCACTTGTGGGAATTGCGGCAAGAGTCATGAGGGGGGTGTGTCGAGCGGGTGTCTGCTACAAGTGTGGAAAAGAGGGGCATATCGCCAGGGATTGCCCCAAGGGATTTGCAGTCTGCTTTCACTACAACCAGACCGGCCATCAGAAGGCCGAGTGTCCCCAGCTGCTTCAGGGATCAGCGCAGGGATCTGCACCTGCTGCTATTCGAGCTACAGAGAGTCGGCCAGCGAAGGCCGAGGCACCGAAGGCTCGCGGGAGAGCCTTTCAGCTGACAGCGGAGGAGGTCCGCGCAGCACCTGATGTCGTGGCCAGTATGTGTTCTTTTACTTATTTTATTCGAGTTATTTTGTGCTTATATTGTGTTATGCATAGGTACTTTTCTTGTGGGTTCTGTACCTGCTGTCACACCCCCGAACCAGACGGCGGAAACGTCCGAGGGCTTGTGTGACTTAAATTGAAATATCATCACAATGAATATACATGAAACATAACATAAACATCACCATGCATTAATACATTACAACCGTCATTGTTCACATCAAGTACATTGTTTACATTACCTAATCCCAAACATAAATTGTCTATCAAATGACATCGCACAAAAGACATTCAGACACACGCTTGATAATTCTTCATTCTAACGGTTACCTGAGAACAAAAGTTATTTTGAAAACGGTCAACATATATAATGCTGGTGAGTTCATAAGCAGGTTTGATATGAAAATGTTTTGTATTGTTTATAAAACCCAGAAAGTCCGATATTTTCTGAAACAGAAATTGTTTACGAAAAAGGTGTGATGATCCATAAGTATACGTGTAAATGATTTCAAGACATGCAAAAAGTGAAATGTTTTTCATAATAGTTTCTTGTATTATAGTTGTTGTAAGTAAAAGTGAATAATGTTGTTCTCCCGGAAAACCCGATGTTTTCCGATATAAATAGCATGATAGTTTTGTATTATTGTATCGTCACAGCATATGAACATGATTTCCCAATGATTACTTAGATGGTAATGGATCTCTATGTGACTCGTTATAACCATGCATAATAA